CAAGCGGACACACGTCTGAAAAACACGACTGTCGGCATGTTTCGCAAGAGTTGCTGCTGTGAGATGGGCTGGTGGGGATACGCGAAGCGTAAATAATTACTGATTGTGCACGTTCTCGGCCACTAGTCCTGGCGGATGGGCGGATGCCCCCTCGGACCCTAGAGTAACGTTTCCTGCCATATTGAGCGGGAAGAGGTGCACAAAGGCGATGATGTTGCAGGCGGATGTAGGGCGGGATGTAGAGCGGCATGTAGAACGGCACGACGTAGTGTTCCTGCGGATGGGCTGGCCCAGCCCTGACGTACCCTTGAGTGGCGTTTGATGCAGGCGTCGCGATGTAGAGCGACGGAGAATGGGAGCCATGGCCATCGAGGCGTGGCGAAACATGGCAGCCGTGGTATTGGAGCAGGGGCGAACCTGCCCCGCTATCAACTAGACACGGGGATGTGGAAGGTAAAAGAGTGTTTTCCATAAAGGGAAACTGTAGAGCGATGCAAAGCAATGTAAATCAATGTAAAGCGGGCGCTGTGGCGGTTTCTTGAGATCCAATACGGCAACGGCAAGGACAAAGTGAGAAGCAGGCAAGGCAGGATATTCTACCGTTCGATTAGGAGGAGGTGGAGGAGGTGGAGGAGGAGGAGGAGGGAGAGTCGAAATTCGAGGAGCGAGGATCGAGATGATGGGGTTTTTAGGATCCAGGAGGATCGGGATTCGAAGATCGACGATAGAGATATTATGTTAGAGTGTGTTGGGCCTGTTCCAGTCTGCTTCGACTCCCAGATTCTGGCAGCTCGGCAGGAGGAGGAGGACGACGACGAAGAAAAGGAGGACGACGAGAAGGAGGATAAGGAGAAGAAAGAAGAGGAGGAGAACGAGGGAAAGGAGGAAGAGGAGGAGGAGGATAATGGAGGAGAATGAGGCGGATGAGGAGGAAGTGACGCGAAGAACGGAGAGACCAGGAGCCGGTGGGGGGAGAAGTGGAGAATCATGAAAGATAGAAGGATGAGAACGAGGACGAGGACGAGTTTGAGGACGAGGACAAGGACGAAGACAGGGAGAGTGGAAGGGGGAAGAGGGAGGACGAGTTTGAGGATGAGGACGAAGACAAGGAGAGCGGAGGGGGAAGAGGGAACGGCTGAAGTGGACATGGGGAGGTGAGGAAGGTAGCAAGAATGGGGGAGGGGGGAACAGGGAAGGGAAGAGGGACATGGGGGGATGGGAGGGGAAGGGGGACGGTGAGGAGGGGAAGGAAAAGGAAGGGGAGGGTGACGGGGAGGCGGGGAGACAGGGAGCAGTGGAGGGGGGGAGAAGGAGAGGAAGGGAGAGGAGAAGAGAGGAGAGTAGGAATGGCAGCCTCTCGCACCCCTCAGACAGGGGGGACGGGAATGACAGCCCTCCTCCTCCCTCATTCCTTCTCTACCTCCCCATCCTCCTCACCCTCCTCACCACCACAATGATAATCCCATCAGCCCTCTGGGCGTGAGTGGTTTTGGGAGTTTCCCCGTCCAACCCCCCTTCTTCCCGTTCGGGGAGGTTCACCCCTCCCCCTACTCCCTCCCTCTGGGTCTGGAGGGGGTGGGTCGCGGGTCGCTGGAGCGTCCAAGATGGCCCAAGATGGCTACAAGGGGGCTTCCGAGAGCCCAAGGTGACCTTCAAGATGGCCGAAGACACGGTCCACCCGTATCGCAAGGATGCGCGACAAGGATGCACAGGGCCTCGGACGCCCGTCTCGGAGCTTCTCGGGCGGGGAGCGGCCAATGCAAGTGGCCAGGGATGGACCGAGGAGGCAAGGATGCGAGGGGTGCCCTTGGGACGACTGCCCGTCCTTGCCGTGCGGGCTGACTGTAGCACGTGAGCTGCTCGGCGGCACGCAGGAGTGTGAAGGGGCCCTGGGGCACACACATAAATACACACAAATAAACAGATTCCCCATAGTTTCCTATATGTTCTTGGTTTCTGTCTTCCCCCCACTTCCCATATTTTCCTATATTTTCTGGGAATCGACGATTAATTGTGTCTGTGTGTTTTCCCCTCCTGAAAGTGACCCCCCCGCAAGGAATGGCCTTTGGGGCGCGGCTCCGGGAGGCCGTGGGGGAGACCAAGTCGACGCCATCCGGGCACGCTGGCCCGTGCTGGCGGGACACCTGTTGGCCCGCACCGAAGGTCGCTTGGGCGAGGAGTCACTCCGACGCTAGTGCTGCTCCCAGCGTCCTCAGGGACTGCATCCCGGAAGTGATTTCGAGCACCCCGACAAGCATCGAAACGTTTCTGCCCGACGCGCTGGCGAAGTGTCGAACGAGTATTGCCTCCCGAGGCCCGACACGTGACAACACTCCAGCGCCGGCACTCTCTGGGTGCTCGAAAGTCTTCCTGGCGATCACGGCTAAAGTAGGCCAGAGCATCATAATCTTACGCGTAGGCGACATGTGCCCAGACATCCGACGTCTCGATGTGTGCGAGACACGGGCCCCCGACCTCCCGACCACTTCTCCGGGACCTCTTTGCTCCGTCCCGGGTCGCTTTCTGACGGTCCTGAGGCCCGCCGAGGGCCCCGAGGGGCCGAAAACGACGAAAAACCTCCGTCTCGACGCTTGTCGAGACGCCCAGTGTCGGGGTGCTTGCCGTGTCCGCTCCCATGTTTCAGCCCCGGGGAGGCTCCAGAGCACCCGCAGAGAGGGGCACCTCCTCCTCCTCCTCCTCATCCTCCTCCTCCTCCTCCTCCTCCTCCTCCTCCTCCTCCTCCTCCTCCTCCTCCTCCTCCTCGCTCCTCATCGCCCCTCCTCCTCCTCCTCCTCCTCCTCCTCCTCCTTCCTCCTCGCTCTCCTCCTCCTCCTCCTCCTCCTCCTTCCTCCTCCTCCTCCTCCTCCACCTCCTCCTCCTCGCCCCCCCCCCTCGGCGAGCCGCCCTGCGCGCGCCAAGCGGCAGAGCGCCGCGCAGGGCACCCGCAGGAGAGAAGCGCAGGGGGCTCCACGCCTCGCGCCGCAGGCGGACCTGCACGCTCCCAAGGGCGGCGGCCTGGCAGCCGCACGCAAGACCGCCCCAACGACGGCCCAGAAAAGGCCCCAGGAGCACCCCCAGAGAGGGGCTCCTCCTCCTCCTCCTCCTCCTCCTCCTCCTCCTCCTCCTCCTCCTCCTCCTCCTCCTTCTCCTCCCCCTCCTCCTCCTCCTCCTCCTCCTCCTCCTCCTCCTCCTCCTCCTCCTAACTTGAGGGATGAAAAAATGGCCCTGCCCTGGGTTACAAGTGCGTGGTCTGTACACCTCCTGGGATACCCCCGAAGCCTAGAGCCGCCAGGGCGCGGCACATCACGCAGGGTTCACCCTGTCGGCCCACAGGAGTTTCAGCGCACAGCGCCTCGTAAACTAGGGTGGGGGCGTTTTCTTATGCCCTCGACTAATGGCTCAAGGAGGGCCCCGAGGCTGTACGACGGGCCCCCGAAGCGGCCCCAGGGGGACCCCCCCCCCCAAAAAAAGGCCCCAGAAGAGAGGGGGAGCTCGAACTGGCACGTCGAGCCGTCCGCCCTGGGACGGCCTCGGGCCCGAAAGGGTGCAGAACAGTTGTCAGACCTGCGCTGCGCCAAATCTCTGGAACATCCCGGGAAGCCTCCGGGACCCTCCGCGAATCGAACACACGCTGGTCGAGACACGTCGATCAACGCACTCGCGGAGATGCTGGGAAATCAAAGGCCTGCGACAGGAGCGAGAACCCTTTTTTCCAGGTTCTGTTTCACGCGGCTCGAGCGGAACCTTTTCAGGCCCATGTTCCAACCAAGCCGCAGGCGGGAGCGAGGATCGTTGCCGGGTTCCCTCTGCAACGGCTTGGGATGAAACATTGTTCGAGTTCCCTCTCCACGCAAACGCAGGCGGGAGCGAGAACTCAGGTTCCCTGTCCCGCGGCTGGAGCCAGAACCTTTCTCTCGCCCTCTCAGACTTCCTCTCCGTCCAGTCGCATGCGAGAGCCAGGCCCTTCTCCTCCTCCTCCTCCTCCTCCTCCTCCTCCTCCTCCTCCTCCTCCTCCTCCTCCCCCTCCTCCTCCAGGACCTTCTCACGTTTCCTCCCCCGCGGCCGGGAGCGAGGACCTTTTCTTCAAGCTCCCTCTCGAGCCAACGACAACGGGACAGCGACCTCTTTTACAAGCTTCCTGCCCCCGCGGTGACAGCGGGAGTACGTCGCGGATCCCTCCGTGACCACACGCAGAGGCGGGAGCGAGAGCCTTCCCAGGTGCCCTCTCCCGCAGCTGGAGCAGGAGCATGTTCAGGCTCCCTCGCCTGCCAAACGCAGGCGGGGGCGAGCACCGCGGGCGGCTGGGGCTACAGCCTGCTCAAACTTCCCCCCCCCCCCCCTCGCCATCGTTCGGACGTCCATTCCCTGTGTTTTTTCCAGTTTCGTGCGTGGTTTTTTCGCCAAGTGATCAAGCATGCTCCTCAATGGTCCTCGCCGAAGGAAAAATGCACACGTCCGAGCGATGCCAAGCCCCCCTACCAGTCGCAGGCGGGGGCGCGAGCCCTCGACCCCTCTCCCGCGGCTGGAGCCAGAACCTCTTCGAGCTCCCTCTCCAGGCCAGCGCAGGCCAGAGCGAGAACCTCTTGCAGGCTCCCTCGTCCGCGGCTGGAGCGAGAACCTCCTTCGAACTCGCTCGACGGGCGACTGCGAACCAGCGGCGCTCCGCCCGCCCCATCGGCCCGCCCGCGGCCCGGACGCAGGAGCCTTCCCCGTGTGCGCCCGATGCGGCCGACGATGGGTCACCAC